TTCGTTGCGCATGCGCATGACAATTACTCCAAACTGGTGAAGACACTAACGTCTCTTTGGACCCTGGATTCTATTAGTTTTGCTCCTACATGCTGAAAAAGTGTGAGCAGCACAAAATCACTCTGCTCTCTGCCATTTATTATAACCAGTGTTATTTATTATAACTGTTGTTAGTGCAGAAAAACTTTGGACTGCGGCCGCCTGTAGCGCGCATGTGTAACTTCTGGCGTAGCATTGCACACCTGATGTAGAGTGAACACGGAAGAGGGGAGGCTGTGATTCCTGCTCATCATATCTAACATTTTAAAAAGAGAAACAATGATTTTAAACAGCTCTGTTCTTTCAGGAAGTTGACGACATCATCACTATCTCACAGTTAAAAGTGCTTGTTGTGGCTAACGGCTTCACAGCTTTCATGTGTGGAGAAAAGGATTAGTTACAAACTGACTTTTCAGTCTTTGTCGGGATAATTGTCAGATCTGCTTCTCTTGTGTTTACAATCAGAACATTAATTGTGAAAATGCCCAGTACTAATGCAGGAGCAGTCGTGAACCTCTGAGCGTACTGAACCATGAACAGCTAGAATATACAGGGCGCTGTAAAAAAAAACAATGTTCTCATTAATGGAGCCGAGTTAAACGATCTGATCTAATTATCCACGTGTTGGGGAGTTTAAACAAACCTTCTGCATAATGACTTGCAGGAGTTTACACATTTAGGCTTTGGATAAATAAAGATGAAATCGCTCTGGTCTTGTCATGTTCTCATATTTGTCATCACATCACTGCTTGTTCATTTAATGAACTCATCATAAAACAAGTATGGAGGAGGGGAGTCTAGAAATGAAACTAAGTTTTAAGAATTATTGCATTTTCGTTGCCGATTGCTAAAATAAGAGAAAATATTAATCCTGAACAAAGATTTTCATTGTTGAAGCTGGTTTTGTTGCCATATCGTTCGTGTTTTATTAACATTTTAACGTGCGGCTGCATCCAGGTGTAAGAAAAGTTCATTTCAGAAATTCAGTTGCCGTGTCAAAGTTCAAGATGGCCACCACCATATATCTACAGGTGCATCTTAAACGATTAGAATACAGTACATCCATTGGCAACTTTTTAAAATTTTCAATAAAAATAATAGTAAATATCGTAAATCTTGCTGTATTTATTTATTTTTGTCAGAAGATTAAAGGAGTGTGATGCAGCGATGCCTTTAAAGTTGGTTCTGTTGGTCCTCTTTGAACCACATGTGTCAAACTCAAGGCCCGGGGGCCAAATGCGGCCCTTGTTGACGTCTTATCCGGCCCCCAAGATAACATGTTAAACGTAAAATACTTTTGTCCTTTGAATTTTTTTTCAGTAATCTTTGATTATGATGTCGAAAGCACAACCTAGAACGTCAAATGAGACTAATTAAATTCTTTTTGAGGAACCTGCAACCAAGAAAAGATGTCTGGTATCCAACTTGAGTTAATGTAGATTCTGAAACCGGCCCTTAGTTTGAAAAAGGTTTGAGTTTTGGCCCCCATTTGAAAGCGAGTTTGACATAGACGTGCCTCTGAATCCATAAGTTGATGCTTTCTGCAGCTAAATTGCTGGCACGTCTAAAAGGCAACCAAGTCATGCTTCATTAAATCTCATGCTGAAAGTAACTTTTTAAGACTGCATTGGATGTTTTGGTTCCACTTCTAGTGTTGAGTATTAATACGCTGGAAAAGTAACTTCACCATTGGGAGATCGCAACTAAGTGAAAATTTAATACAATCTTCTGGCTTCCTTAGAGAAGCTTTTACCTTATTTTCCGGTGCACAAGTCAGTTTTTTGCATAGATTTGTCAGTCCTGCGACTTATGCGCCAAAGTGACTTATATACACTTTCTCTTTTTCTCCATATTCATAACTAGGGATGCACAATATTGGATTTTTGGCTGATATCCGATATGCCGATATGTTAAAACTCATTTGGTCGATAACCAATACCAATATTTTTATTTGCTTTCCTTTGTCTGAACATAGCTCTCTTATTTACTCAAAAATTGTGTAAAAGCTGGTGACATATATTCAGTAACGGCCATATGCATAGCTGTTATTTATTAGCATTAGTCCCCTGCGATGCTGTCTCACTTGTGGAGGCTTGTTCCAGGTTCCTATAGCTGCACTGTGGGATCCTCTGCACTCCTGTGCATGAAGGACAGACTTTTTAAGTTCAAAGTTTTTGTCTATCCATTGTTCCGTAAGACTAATCATGCTAACGGGGCTAACACGACGTCTGGTAAAACTCACCCAGGTGCTATCGACTGTTAGCTTCTCAATGATGTCAGAAATGGCGGCTTGTAACTCGGGCAAGGCTACGTCGTAAAAATATCTCGGACTGGGGACGATGTAGCGAGGCTCAACGTAGTCTATAAATATTTGGAACTAGATATCCTCAACGGAAAAAAAAAACTTCCACACCACGATATTTTGAATTTTCCTCTCCGCCGTGCTCGGATCAGGTAGACGCGCGTGACGTCATCATGTTGTGCTGGCGCTGCAGACATCTTTGTCACTGGGTTGTCATACAAAAACAGTGTCTTTTATATCAGTGAGCTATTTTGCTGGAATGGCCAATATTTAACTTTAACGCTAATATCGGCCGATACCATGCAGATAATATCGTGCATCCCTATTCATAACATAATTTTCGACTGACGCTTTAAATGTTCATTCATTCTGACATGAACCAGAGTAAACATTACCATTTGCAGCCGCTAGAGGATCGAGAGGGCCCTCTAGGCTTTTGACAGCTACCAGTAGGCGTATATGTTGTTCCTGTACCTGCTGCCCCCGCCACACATTGACCATTAAAGTGCATTTATTAAGGAAAAGTTAAACTGAGACGCACCTTTGCTTTAATGTTGAGCAAGCTTTTATTACCTCCTAACTAGACCATTGCAACTCTCGTCAGTGTTAGCCAGGCCGGTCTGACTGCAGCTGGTCCAGATCACTGCAGCTCATCTTTTAACACAAAAAAGCGTGAACATATCTCCCCGGCGCACTCGTCCCTTCAATGGCAATCTGTTCATTTTAGCGTTGATTTTAACGTCTTGTTGTTGTTGACTATAAGGTCCTGAGTTGACGGGCTTCTGAGAATTGACACGTTCGATTTATTTTATGCTTTTAGCTTTCATTTTCATGTGCTATATAAATAGATTTAATTTGATTTAGTGCTTATAACTAAACATGTTGTGGTTTACATTGTTGCCTCAGAGCAAGCCTTGAACCGTTCCTTGGTTCAAGCCCTTTGAAGCCGAGCCTTAAGAACCAGGCCTCCTTTGAAAAATAGATCTGTGATCTCAATGGCAGTTTACCTGGTTTAGATAAATGTTAATAAATAAAATGGCACCATATGTAGCTTTCTGTTTAAGATGATTAGACGTTCAGTGCCTACGTGCTGTTGAGCCTCTGACATTTTTCTGTTTTGCATAAAGTGCTTATCCAACAATCCAAACATAATTTCAAGGATTTAACAGATGTAGTGATTCTGCTTTCCAAAGGTTTTTACCCTCCAAAGACACTAGGAGTCGAACATAACACGTATATATACTCACACTCTTATCTTTATCTCAAACACACCTGCATGATGTAGGCGGGCAACAAAATATTGTGCACAGCAGTACAATTACTGTATGTACAACTATATATACCGTATTTTCTGCTGTACACCTTGCACTGCCGTATAAGTCGCATCTATTATGCGTCACTGCTGACATCCCGGAGATGTGGGGCGGTGTTGTGACAAAAATCGATTGGCTGCTAAATGGCGTCCGCAGCATCGTGCACAGGAGGACTTTAACAAGAATTTAACAAGATTAACACTTAAAAACAATTATTTGTTTGCTCACAACTGTACACCAGTACAGTTTTGAAAGCTGTGCTTTTAAAAATTTGAATAAAAAAAAAAATGGTGGCCACACGGCTGACTGGTGGCTAACGCTCAACATTCAGTGAGACGACAAACAAGACATTGAGGATTTTCTTGCAGTTTTTCCACATCTTTGAGTCAACGTGTCTCCAACAACCACAGCTCGGTGACATTTGAATGTTTCTTTAAAATGGTCATGATATGAAACGTATGGTTTGCATTTCTCAGAGTTTAAACGTTAGTTTTCTCACCTGCTAACCTCTCAGCTTGCCCTTTCTATATTTCTCACGTTTCCCTTTCTCTCCTTTGCCTCATTGTGGTTTTCATCCCGTGTGTGTGTGTGTGTGTGTTTGCCTGTTAGTTGTCGGAGTGAAACGGCTGCATTATATACATGCATTACCGATGCAGGCGGCACTCTGATTATCGTATACGTACAAGCTGCAACCACTCACTCGAACTATAAAACCGCAGAATTACTGAAAATCAAACACTGCATCAAAAACTTCGAAATTAAATAAGATTTTTTTTTTTTACAACACTAAATTTGTATAAGAAGTTGATTGAAATGCACAAACTAAGTTATGTTGCAGTCCTTATACTTTGTTGAGATAAGAAGCGGATGATGATACATCTTATTAGAGGAAAAAACCAAAGAGTTAAATGACTGAGGATGAGGAGGGACTGCAGGGAGGAGATCTCGGCTTTTCTTTTCCCAGGACTTTGTAAGAGCCTCATTAAAAATGTATGATGTTTGGAGCAGAGCAGGAAGTGGTTCTCCACAATCAGCACCTGCAGCTCCATGCTGACAGGCCTCTCCTGGAGCTCCTCGTCTTTTCCTCATACGTCTCGTTTCATCCCTCAACAGCCCGACGTTCTCCTAACAACTGTTAAACTCCAGAGGGGAAACACGTTTTCTGTTCTCCTCCTCGTGCGTTTCTCACGCCGTCTTCCTCCTTTCCTGCCTGTAAAAATTACAGATCTTCATTATCTCGTTTGACTGGAAGCTTTCATCCTCTGTTTCAAGAAAACAACTACAAGTGGTGCATTAAAGCCACTAGGAGCACCACTCATGCTTTGTTGTGATGTTTGTGTCATCAGGGGATGAAGATCCGTTGTCCGGGTCGTTCTCAGCGGCATGACGGACAAACGGAAAGCGGAGCGTAATCGCTGCCTTGAAGGAGCAACAATCGGCAACAGGTGTGTGTGAGCGCCGGCCTTCACGAGAAGTGTTTTTATGTGGTTAGGACACCAAACGCAGCTGATAAGATTAGAGACTTTAAAGTGAGAATGAGACGAACGTTGAGGCGGAGCGGGGTGTGCGGTGGTTTATCCTGAACAGACGTGAAGTGAAGCTCAGTCTAATCTGGCTCAGCAGGAGTGACGCACAAAGTGTCTGTCAGAACCTGCAGACACACTCGGTAATCCCATTTCCCTGCTCTGCGAGCATCTCTGCGTGTGCGTTTTCAGTGTTGGACAAAAGTGGAGAGTAATCTGTGTTTAACCATAAAGCTATAAATGTTATTTTACATTTCTAATCTACAGAGAAATCACATGGACACTTATCTTAATCTGCTTCTCTACATTAAAAGCTTATAATCCTTAAAGGAATGCTTATCACCTGCTGCCATCCATAAAACCAAATTATGCTGAGAAACTAGCAATTTTTGTCATCTTTCAATTAAAATTATGCAGAATCTTAAAGTTAATCCAGTGATTACTTCCTCATAGCTTCAATAAATTCCATCCAGTGGTTCATGAGATATTTTGCTAACAGACAGGCAGATTTGACTGCAAAGCATGATCAGTTTGCACTCTGCTTATAAGATGGAGGTGACTCTCAGCTGCTAACGTGAAATATTTGCTTCTTCTCCGTACAATTGACTGTCGCAGGTATTTGTGTTACATAAGGTTGCCCAGCTGCGGCGGCCATCTTGAATGGGGTTCACTCAAAAGTGAATCGGTTGCAGATGTACGTCCGTCACGGTTGCATGAGGTTTGGACCCAGGGATGCAGACAGACGGGAGGAGCTCTAAAATAAAACTTTATTGTAAAGTAAAACAAAAGCAGAACTTGAACTGAAGGCAGGCCCAGAGAGATGTTGAGGAAACGGGACTTGACATGTCGGATGTGCAACGCTCCACTGCTGGAGTGAAACTTGAAGGGTTAAATCAGACATGGGCAACATGAGACCCGAGGACCAAAAGTGTCCCTTGGACAATCTCTATCCAGCCCCCAATATACCGTACTTTTCGCCATATAAGTCACACCTTTTTGCATAAATTAGCATAACCTGCGACTTATATGGCAAAGCGATTTATTTACATTTCCCCCCCATATTTATAACCCAATTTTTGTCTGAGATCTGACGATTTCATTCATTCTGACATGGAAAATATTGAACACTACCATTTTCAGCCACTAGAGGGCCCTCGACTAATATACAAGTGTCTCATTAATAGGTAAAAGTGACTATTAATGAGACACTTGGCTTGCCATACAGAGCCACCTTCGTCTCGCTCTGGAACTCCTGGAGCAAACGTCAAAATCAGCTTCATTTTGCTGCTCCGCCCAGGCGAAATGCAGGAAAAGTTCAGCTGAGACACACCTTTACTATAAAGTCGAGCAAACAATTGTTTTAAAGCGTCAATCTTGTTAAATTCTTGTTAAAGTCCTCTCGTGCACGCTCCCGCAGCCGCCATTTGGCAGCAAATCGATTTTTGGCACACCGGCCCACATTTCCAGGTGCTCAGCGGTGACGCATAATAGATTGTGACTTATCCAGCGAAGCAACATATTTATGCTTTTTCCACTATATTAGACATATTTGGACTGATGTGACTTTTACGGCGGTGCGACATGTTTGGCGGCAAGGACGGTACTTAATTGAAAAGAAATCAACTTTTAAATAAGTTGATGAAAATCTGCATTTTATCAAAGGAAATCTAAATTAAATATCTTGGATTTTTGTTTTAATTAAAAATGTATTTATATTTTGCATATTTAAGGTAGCAAAAATATTTTCACATTACGTTTACAGAGAGTAAGTTTTGCATCCTAAAGATTATTGGCAAGATGCATTTTTATCAAGCATGCTAACTATGCTACAAGACAAAGCCTGAAAAAAGTCTCTTAGAATAACTGTTTTAAATAAATTTCATCTTCTAATTCTCTCTGAGGCCCTTTGCTTTCAATATCTTGATTTGGCCTTTTGGAAAATGAAAAACGGTGCCCACTCCTTGGTTAAATGGACGGGGGTTGATGAACAGGAGTGACTGGAAACAGAGAACAGGTGTAGATGGGCGTGGCAGGGAAACTGACTGAGGAAGAAGTGGCTGGTGGCAAAAAGACAAATCAGAGACTGTTCAAACAAAAACAGAAGTAACAGAACTTTAAATAATCAGAAAACTCTAAACATGATTAAAAAAAACATGAATAAATCGGGTATTTACTAAAAACATCCCATGATTACATTCAGGAAGTTTCAATTTAATCTGTCCTCTGGTTCATGAGATATTTTGCTGATGCTACAGACATTCAACAAGTGCAAAAACATGATCACCCTGTATGACCCGTGATAATTAACTGGACCTTACAGTTTTCAAACTTTTACATTGTGCTTAAACACAATGTCTTTCTGGGTGGTGGGGATTTGAAGTTGTGCCTTTTGTCATCTCATTAAATGAGACATCTTGAGAAAATTTGACCATCTGTAATTAGGAACGCATTTTTAGATGTTTGACGTCACAGTCATTCCAAAAACCTTGAAACTGTTTGATGTTTCAGTCTTCATGACAAATGTCAGCTGCCCTGACGCTTTCTGACAGATTTCTGACATGTTGTGGATTAAAAAAATGACTGGTTCCCAGCCCTGGTCCTTGAGGAACACCATCCTGCATGCTTTAGTAGTTTCCCTGCTCTAACGCACCTGATTCAATGATTTAATTACTTCAAGTTCTGCAGAACCTTTTAATCACCCATTTATTCAAATCAAGTGAGTCAAAGCAGGGAAACGACTAAAACGTGCAGGATGGTGTTCCTCAAGGACCAGTGTTGGGAACCACTAATTCTAGGAAAATCTTTAAACGATCTCAATTAAATTTTATGTACTTAAATTTTTTTTTTAAACTATAAATCTGAGAAGATGCTTGTATTTTTGTGTACTTAATCTAACATTTTTGTGTCTTATGGCTCCATTACAGCAGATTTACTGCTGCTCTTGGTGGGCTGTATCTTTGGCGTTCTAGAAACTTGGCACGCGAAAGGGAAAAATCAGTGGCATCGCCTAAAAGTAATGTTTAAAAATCAGCTACTCCTCTACACTGTGAAGTTATAACAGTATACAGAAAAAGAATAAAGTGTGTGTAAGAGAGAGAGAAGTGATCAAAAAATACACAAGAGAGTAAGTGTGGACCGTGTGGGATCAACTGTAAGTGCTGCTGCAGTCTCATTAGTGTGTATCTGTGTGTATGTTTGTGTGTGTGTGTGTGTGTGTGTGTGCGTGTGCGTGTGTGTGTTTCTCTGCAGCATTTGTTATCCTGCCCGGCTCCTGTCTCAGCAATAAACAAAAAGCCAACCTTTCTGGCACAGATGGCTCTTTCCTGCAGCAGTTTGATATCAGCTGCAGCTGCTGTTACTGTGTCTCTAAAATAAATTTCTGTTTGATCAAATGAACACTTCGGCAAATAGAGTGGAGGCGCATCGGAACATCACGTGGACCAAAGCTCAGCACAGCATCGACTCGTTCCACCCCGTTTCACTATCATCGCAATCGTTTTGTACAGTTTGTATCTGATGAACCCATTAGACCAGAGCTGTCGGGTCTGGGCAGCTAATCGGTCCCCGTTGGGAAATCTTCATCTTTACTTTGTATACAGATTATAACATGCAGCTCTTCCTACTTTTATGATCAGGAGACTGATGCAATACAACTTTGTGTATAATGCACTAAGAAATCACAAAAACGGCACACAAATTATTTTATCTCCAAACACTGTCATTTTTCACCACTTTTTTTCTGTCCAAACATGTCTCACTTGTAAATGAGTCTTTGAGGCTCAATGTGACATATCTGTTTAAATAAAGGTTGAATTGAAAAAAAAAAAAAACTGCTCGTTTCGAAGTTTGGGGAGCAGCGACTGAAAAGACCAGGAACTGATCTGCAGATCTGAAGAGTGTGAAGACAAGCAGCTGAAAGGCGAGCAGCAGCAAGACGGGCTCATATCGACATAAAGTGCATTGCAGCAATCTAAAGAGTCCGTCACACGGTGACACAGTGGAAAAAGCTCAAACACGCTGGTTTAAGCCACATAAGTTAAGTGAGTTTTGAATAAGTTCTCAGCACGCTGATATACGACCACACAAGTTGTTGTACGCCAATGCCAGTTGCCAGTTTCGCCCTATATCCAGAGGGCTTCATCAGTCTGAGGAGTCCTAAGTAAACTGTTTTCCCCCACTAAACAGTACACTCCTTTAGTGTACCAATCAGTTTGCTGGTTTTACTGGTGACTGATGAAGCCCTCCGGATAGCGGGTGAAACCTCTTTCCACAAAAAAGAAACAGTCCAGATGACCTGACTGACCATCGTTGGATTTTGTACCTGGATGATTGAGCATGAACGTTGATGCTTTAAAAGAAAGATGCAGGACTTTTTAAACACAAGTGCCACCTTTTTGTTCTTTTGGCTTTTAAATGGTGAGAAAATTAATCATTTTTTTTACCATGCAGAAATATACTGAGAAAACTTGGTGCTGCTTTGACAAATACTTTGGAAATATATCTAAAGTATTATAACAGTGTTCAGCTCAAGCTCATTAGCTCAGTAATTTGTTGACGGTCCCTAAGAGAACCATCGCTCCTCTGAGGGACGGACTGAGAGCAGCTGACAGAAATCAGACTGTCTGCGTCGGCTCAAACGAGGAAGCCACCGCTGAATCCACGGAGCATGAACGTGAAATATCCAACGTAAAACTAATTTTACCACTTCAGCACACACTGGATATCTTTATATTTAAGGCTGGTTTCAAAACAAAACTCCATGAACCTCAAATACGGGTGTCTGTTCCATTGTTGCTGTTGTCTGTGAGAACAAAGAAGGTCGAATCATGTCATCTGGACCAGTTTCTTTGAGGGAGGAACGTTTGTTTTCTGTGAGGGAACACTACACACATTACAGTATTGCGAGGGAACACAAACTTTTG